CCTATAACCTCAATCTGACCCGATTGATTCCTACAATGCGGCAAGATTGGTTGTTTCCCATGACAACTCCATCTTGCTTCACCGTCTCATATATTTGAAACAAAGCCCTATTGGGACACATATGATACGAACAAGTAGAATCCAGAATTCACTCCTCAGGTTTGGATTCCCCATCAGATATAGCCAACATCACATCTCCATCATCACAAATTTTTTTAGCAATATTAGTCTTGTTCGAATTACCTATTGCCCCGCATGATTTGCATGTAAATTATCTTTACCCTACAACTTGTCGCAATCTTTCTTGATGTGTCCTTTCCTCTTGCAGTAATAACGGTACACATTGCTGTACCTCGCCTTCGATCTATCCCTCTGTCAATCACCATGAATAACCAGAGCATCCCCACTCTTAGATGTAGTATCTCCAACCAACAGCTCCATCTTCTTCTTTGAGAACAGGGCATCGTATACCTCTTCAATGGATAATGTGTCACGACTATACAGAATAGTATCACGAAATGATGAAAAAGAATTGGGTAGCAAACACAACAAGACCAAGGCTAGATCCTCTTCATCATATTTTACCTCCAACGTCTCCAAATCTGCAACGATCTCCTTGAACACAGCAAGGTGGTCCTGCAGTGACCCTCCTTCTGCCATGCGATGAGAATACAACCTCTGTTTTAGAGTCAGTTTGCTAGTCAAACTCTTTGTCATGCACAACTACTCAGCTTGAGCCACAAAGCAGCCGCTGTCTTCTCCTTCAAAATATCTTGCAGCAAATTGTTGGATAAATGAAGCTGGACTTGTGCTAAAGCCTTCCGATCCTTCCGTTGTTTCTCCTCCATAGACAAGTTTTCTGACATCCTATCAAAACCCAACAAAACATCATCAAGATCCATCTACGTCAACACAGCTCTCACCTTTACTTGCCACAACGAAAAATCTTGTATTACGATCCAATAGCGAAATTTCATACTTCAACGAATTCATCCTTGAAAAATTTCAACCAAATCACAAAGAACTTGCAACCTGCAACACCCAAAATTGAAAACTTTCGAACGTGCAAGGGGTAAAACAGTCCAGAACCACAATTTTGCCCAAAACTGAAATTGGACACCACCACAAGGTCCTTCTCGTCGTCCGAAGAAAACTGCCTGAAGACACCATCACTAGAAACCACCGTACGCGCCGCCACTCGCTCACCGGAGTTCCAACTGTCGGCGACTGGAAACGTGCCGACAACCTGTGACCCTTTATGGACCATCTCTACCTGCTGAGTCCACTGGTGGTGTTTATTTCTCCAGACTCTTTTTGGTTTGACCAGAAAAAATAAAAACATATCCAGCAGAAAATTGAAAAACTGGAAAGATTCGTTTTCTGATTTTCGAGTAATTTTCGGACCAATTTTCGATCAGTTTCAGGCTAGAAATCCACCAACAACCCCGCTCTGATACCACTTGTTGGGACCGGGTGGAAACGAAATGCAAGAATTGAGATTTAATGGACACCAATTTGAAGTATAATACAAGATCGCAAAAATACCATGAACAAGATTAAAGTAAAGAAATAAACTGACACAGGAACGATATTATCTTATTCCCTCAATGAGAGGAGAGAATTACAAAAATTGGCTTCCACAATACTGAAAGAAGAAACTCATATTTATACCACAAGAGTCTAGCGCTAAAAGAGTCCTAAAAGGTAAGAATTCTAGGTTAAACGTGAAAAGGGAAAAAAACGAGACAAGGACTTTGTTTCCTTATTTTCCGGATACTATTTGATTCTCCAAATCCATCACGCATCTTCAAGATTTCCTTTCCAATTTGAGTCACTAACTCATACAAGTTATATGTAATGATACGAATTTGATGATCTCTTTATTTTTGTGAGACCAAAAAATTGTAAAATTTCTACTATTTTTACGATATTTCTGTCTCAAACATATGCGTCTCATTTAACTATTTATCTAATACTATTTGAATATATACTGTAGGATGTTTGCTGTTTGGGACGAATGATGTACAAATGCATAAATTAAATCACCATATCCAAGACAAACACTTGACCAATGTTGCAAGTCCAGCTAATATAACTTTGAGATGAATAATTGTTCGGAACGGAAACCAATATTTATATATCAAAACGTCAACTGAATACTCATCCATGATTACAGATAGAGTTATTAATCCATCACAAGTATGCGAAAAAGATGTCTTCGAAGAGGAAGCCTGTAAGGTATTGTAATATTGAACTTTTAGTTTACATTCATTGTAGTCTTAAATTTCAAAACTTTTTTTCCCCAAAAAGGAGGTTCACCATTTGGATGTTTTATGATTGAATGTATTTCTTGTTAAGGCAAATGTGATACAAGATCAAATTGAATACATTAGAGAAATGTTGGGTACCATAGGAGAAGGTCGTACAAATGTGTCGCCTTATGAAACAGCATGGGTTGCTCTTGTTCCAGCTCTTAATGGAGATGATATGCCCCAGTTTCCCGACAGTCTTCAATGGATTGCAGATCATCAACTTCCTGATGGTTCATGGTGGTGATGAGCTTGTATTCTTATCATATGATCGTCTCCTCAACACTATAGCATGTGTAGTCGCACTGAGAACTTGGAACATTCATCACAGCAAGAGTGAAAAAGGTTTGAAAGTGTGGCTCGCTTTTAGGAAAGAAATTAGATATTAAAATTTTGCATCTTTAACATACTCACATGCTAGCTGAACTCATTTTTTAATTAAAAAGAACTTGATGCATGCATAATGTTTTGGACGCTCTCTCAAAGGATCTTCAAATCGATGGTTTTTCGGGTTCAGTCCAACGTACCTTTCTCTACCAACCAATTCAATCAGCTCCAAACCACAACCAATATAATTCACTTCGGTTGCTATTCAATATTACCCACGTAAGACAAGAAAATGTAATAATTTGTAGCCACAAAGGCTAGGAGAAAACACCACAAAGGTAGACTATGAAGGAACGACCAATTACACAAAGTAAACAAACGTTTTGGCCACTTCTAGGGACTGTTTTTCACACACCAAAGGAGGCAGCCGAGATTCCTCTATTTTTCTCACAAAATCACACAAATCATACAAAAAAGTAGCTAGGTTTATATCCTTTAAGCTAGAACCTTTAAGGGGTTTAAACGGACCAGGATTCAAACTATCCAAGAGAAAATACAATTGGGCCGAGTGTAGCTCATGGATTTGATTATTTGACTTATTTCATTCATCGATCTATGCCTATGCATGAAATAATTAACCCACGTTATCACAGCCCAGGATTTATTGGATATCAAAAACCTAACACACAATTTTCATAAATGGTAGGTGGTAAATCTATTTTCTTTTATTCCTTATTAAAAAACCTCAATTAAAAGCTTAAAATGTTAGAGGTGAGGCGAATTTTTCAAAAAATAAAAATAAAATAATAAGAAAGAAACCACATAATAGGACAGTGATTAAAGAAATATATATTGACATGGCACTGTGTTTTTTATTTAGGAATAACATTTATCAAGGAAAACATACAAAAACTTCAAGATGAAAATGAGGATCATATGCCTTGTGGATTTGAAGTCGTATTTCCGGCGCTTCTACAAAAAGCCCAAAACTTGGGCATTGACAACATTCCTTATGATGTTCCTATCTTAAAGGAGATTTATGCAGCAAGAGATAGAAAGTTGAAAAGGTAACGTTTCAATATCAAATTAATATACGAGAAAGGGTAAAATTTTATCTCCTTTTTTACATTACTGAAACTAGAAAAACCCATTTTTTCTTTATTTCTATTGAAATATCAATATAAAAAAATTGTGATTATATTTCATCGACCAGCACTATTATAGATGCAATACATTAACAGTTAGCTACGCAGGTCATTATAAAGCCTTTTCGCCAGAAAGTCCTCAAGAATGAGAAAGTGGATCAAAAGAGATGATTACATAATATACTACATAAATTTATCATGATATTTATTTTAAATTAAAAATGCTTCATCTAAATTTAAAACATGGGAAAAAAATTAATTAAGAAATAAGAAAAGAGAGGTAAAATGGAAACAATAGTTTCTAAAATTTTTGAAAAATTGGGAAGTGCCTCCGTAATAATCATTTACGTCAAGTATCTGTACATAATTTTCTGTTAAAAAAAAAAAATCCTATTTAAAATATCTACTTGACAGGATACCAAAGGACCTTGTGCACAATGTACCAACATCTCTACTGTATAGTCTGGAAGGATTAAAAGATTTGGACTGGGAAAAACTCTTGAAGTTGCAAACGCCATTAGGGTCCTTCTTAACATCTCCAGCCTCAACTGCATTTGCACTTATGCAGACTAAAGATGAAAAATGCTTCAGATATTTGGACGATATCGTTAAGGAATTTCAAGGAGGAGGTACAATCATTTTAGCTCCAATCTTTTTCTCGAGGAAAAAAAAAATTACTATATATATGTTAAACTGCATTTCATGATAAATGAATAAAGCCTTAATCTGTCACAATGACTATATGAATCTTCCTTATCCAAAAAGACTATATGAATCATTCTTTACTCTATAGCGCCTGCTGCGTACCCATCTGATTTGTTTGCAAGGCTCTGGGCCATTGATCGAGTACAACGGCTAGGAATTTCCCGCTTCTTCACGACTCAGATTAAGGATTGTTTAGATCATGTCTACAGGTAATTATATAATTTATTTTACTGATTATTAATGAATTGTATTATATTGTTATTGTCATGTTAAGATTTACATGAGGAAGTCACGTATGCAAAAAAAAGGTTATCAATTTAGAAGAGATATTATCTAAGTTCGGAATGTTCAATATTTAAATCTTTTGTTTCTCTTTATCACTATTATGCCTTGATTATTTGAGAGATTACACTTATAAATAAAAGAAAAAAAGGATTTTTCTTTAGTGTCATAAAGCATGAAATGAATCATTATTATGCCTATAATTTTTTAATGTTAATGCTATTTTTATTAAGAAAATTAGAACTTAATAGTATCTAACTTTAAAATTTAGGTAATTATATCTTAGATGTGAAAACATCATCTAAAATAGTGACAAGGGCTCCAGCTAATACATCAAATAATAATCGCGATAAACTATATTGTTCCATCTCACAAACAAATGAATAAGATTTCATTTATACTTTATTTTATTTTATTTTAAATTTGTCTTCATATTAAATTAAAATTACAAAAAAATTGGCAGATGGAAGGGATTTATAATTGATTATTGCAATATTATTTTATTGTACAAATAGATAGAACTAGTACGAGAATAAATTATTAGTAATTCAATTCATATTGAGAATTGTTTAATTACAGGTATTGGTCAGAAGATGGAATCTTTGGTGGAAGGTTGGCAAGATTTTCTGATGTTGATGTCACATCCATGGGATTTAGGTTTCTAAGATTGCATGGATACAACGTTACACTTGGTTCGTAAGACAAGGATAGACATTATTTGATAGCATTCAAAAAAAATAATAATAATAATAATAACAATTATTATAATAATAATAATAAAAGAAGTTTTATTTCTTATAATGCCTAATCCTTTTTAATATTGTGTATGAAACGTGTGCATAATCTACATTTTTAAAGTAATTACTTACCAATGCAGTCAATTGTTTTAATTTGGCAGATGTGTTGAATCAGTTCAAGAACAACGACAAATTTTCTTGTTTTGTCTATCAAATGATTGAGTCAACAACCCCAATATACAATCTCTATAGAGCCTCACAAGTTCAATTTCACGGAGAAAAAATTTTAGAAGAAGCTAAGGAATTCTCTTATAGTTTTTTACAAGAAAGACTAGCATCCGATAAATTTCTAGATAAATGGGTAATATCGAAGCACATTCATGACGAGGTAACTATTGAAATATTTCTATAAATATCATTATAAAAGTGACCATAATAATTTTTCCATTTTGATTTTTTTTTCAATAACAAATAAATTAATACTTTCCCATTGTAAATCTAAAAATTAAAAAAAAAATGTGAATAACAGATAAGGAAAGGATTGGAAATGCCGTGGTATGCCAGCCTACCTAGTGCGGAGGCTAAATATTATATAGAGCATTATGGTGGTGAGGATGATGTATGGATTAGCAAGACATTTTAGAGGTTAATTAATATTTTAGTAACTTATAATTTAGAAATGGATTTATTTATTACAGTTTTCATTTTTATCTATATTCGTAATTGTTTGTTATAATTATAGTCACTTCAGAATAAGACATGTTTTTCAAATCTATTTGTAGAATGCCTGATATCAGCAACAATAAGAATCTTGAGCATGCAAAATTGGATTTTAATGGATGTCAGGCACAACATCAAAGGGAATGGTATTTTCTAGGAGAGTAAGTACCCCTTCACTAGATCTGAGTACCCCTTCACTAGATCTGCTTAAAAATTTACTTGTAAGTAAATAAGTAGGTTTGAGAGTTATCATTTTGTTTTAATTGAAGTTGCAAATATATATATATGAACATAAGAAATTTAATATTAGCTTTTCTTTATTGTGCAGGTGGTATGGAAATTTCAAATTGCAAGAACTTGGGATAAGTAAAAAGGACCTTCTTCTTGCCTATTTCTTGGCAGCTGCAAATATATTTGAGCCAGATAGGTCAAATGTGAGACTTGCATGGGCTAAGTCTCAAATTATTATTAGGCTAATGACATTTTATTTCACTAGAGAAAGTAACACTTTGGAGGAAAGGATTGATTTACTATTGAAATTCAAAAACTTCAAGTGCATAGGAAAAAGGAAAAGGTATTTAATATCTACTTATAAGTTTTATGAATCCACAAAAATGAATAGAGAATCCAGCATTTTGGTTTCGAGTACTACAAAGAATTGGACATTACATTTATAGTAAAAGCATTTTAACTTTTTTTCCTTTTCTTATGGACAGCTATGAGACTGGATGAAGAATAATTGATATTCTACTTAAAAACCTTGACCAACACTCTATAGAGACACTGAAAGAGCATAACAAAGATATCAGCCACAAATTATATTGTGCTGTAAGTTCAACACTCTAGACTAATTACTCGTTTGCTTTGCCTATATTTGATTCATAGTTTTGAAAGACCTCACACTTAAATAATTTTTATAAATGATGACCCACTTTTGTGTCATATAATGTAGTGGGAAACATGGTTGTCGAAACTGAACGATGAAGATCTTGAATACAACGACGAAGCTGAGCTCCTAGTACACACAATAAACACTTGTGCTGGCTATATGGTTTCTGAGGACATGTTGCAGCATCCAGAATACAAGAAGTTCTCCAAACTCAAAACAAAATCTGTTATCAGCTTAAAGAATATCAAAATAACAAGGTACATAGCATAAGTCCCAATTTTTTATTTTTTATTTTTTTGGTGTCGAATACAAACTGAAACTTTTAAAACAATATGTTGATACATCGAAGTAACTTCACACCACACCTTACCCATCAAGAGTAGTGTTTTTTGACATTTTTTAGTTGAAGCTCTTAATTCATATTTTGTCCTGATTTGATTCGGATGCAATTTATGTATAGGTAAATGAAATGGGAAACAGAGACAAAGGACCTCAAGGCATCAAATACAAGGAAATTGAAACTGATATGCAGGCATTAGTGCAATTAGTCCTTCAAGAAAACGATGAAATTGATTCAAATATCGAGCAAACATTTTTAATGGTTGTAAAAATTTGTAACTACCTGGCATTCTTTGATCAAGAAACCACTGGTGTCCACATTTCCAAGGTAGTTTTTGAAAGTGTGTGACAAAATGATTGGCAAATCTATGTATGAAAAATAGAAAAATTTGTTCTATCATATATGATATAGTACATTGTTGTAATAATCTCTAGGCAATGCCTTTTTCCCATGAATTTGATGTATTCTATCTTTTATTTAAGTTGTATCACTTGCAATAATAAATTCAAATATAATTTCTATTATCTTCTTTATTTGTAATTTACTAGCAGATTTAATTACTCTAATAGCTTCGTTATTGCTCTCCTTAAGTCGTAAGAGAATTCCAGTAGATCATCTCATCATCATTGGTTTTTCCAATTGTGGAGGTAAATGGACCCTCTTCATGTTCCCAAATTATTCCTTCTAGAATATTATCAATCATTTTATGGATCTTAAAATCCAAAAATTGAATCAAGAAATGACAGTGAAGGAAAGATATCTCCAACATTAAATATTCCTGCAAAGGATGTTGCTTTTTTTCCCAACTCGATTAGTGATTCTTGGTAACCAACTGTGCTTCTGCAAACTATCAAATTCTCCGCATCTATATATTTTTCGTTAGATTGATTGGTACTACTTCCAATGGTCTAATTGAACTAATGAGAGGAGAAACCTCTTCCTCCATTATGCAGTAAAATGATTGGACTTTTTTTCCAAACTCAGGAGTTCCATCATACATAGTTTAAGTATATCTTTCCAGTATTTTCCGTATGGAGTAGAAGCAATGTCAGCAAAGTTGTAATATACAATCTTAGCGACAACCGGGTCCGGCCTATCAGAAAAGTTAAATGTCATTTGTTTTAAATACTTCTTGTGCTATTCGAGGAGACGATATAACAATAATGGAAAGTTCACCTATTTGAAGGTGCATGATTGGTCCATATTTTTTTTTGCCAAGTTACTGAGAGTGCGATGGGCTAGGGAGCCTACCATCTGATGCAAGTTCCCAATAAAATGGAGCTTTTTTGGCCCTGGGAGCAATTTTTGAGCAAAAATACTACTTGTGCTGAGAAAATTTTACGAAATTGTGTACAGGTGCTCACGTGGCGAAGAGTGATTAGTTGGTTTAACTTTGTATTTTGTCCAAAATCTAATGAACTTGCGCCACCGGTAAACTTATCTGTAATTTTTCCTGTACAAGTAGCATCACTCAATTTTGAGTAACATTACTGTTTGTTATTTGGCGTGTGCCATAGGATTATTACTAAAAGCGTGCTTCTAAAAATGTGCTTTTACTTGGTTATTGGAAATGGGTCTTCAATTGTGTACTAAACTTGGCCTTCCATTTAGACGGTTTATAACTTTTGTGGCTTGTGGTATAAATACCTCAAACCAGCACTTTGGGTTTGAGAATCATCTAATATTTTTGGGATGTGTCTGTCTCTTGGTTTTGGTGTGAGAGGCGAAATTTCTCCTTTGCCAGATTTTGAACTTTGTTTTTATAATCTTTTGTATAGATTAGAGTGATCAAGTGTTGATCTTTAAATTTGAGCCAAAACTGTAAAGTGAGAGAATTGAGGTTTGTGTTCTTCGATCTCCTTAATCATGAGATTCAAAAGAATTTTTTTACGTTCAAGAGACATTTTTGGTGATTCTTTACAGTTGAGCATCCACTATTGTGGAGCTCCTTGGATGTATGTTTGTCCGATGAACAATATCTGGTGTTCTTTACATTTCTGTATTTTGTGCTTGTTTGATTTTGATATTATTTCGAAAAACAGGCTTTCACACCTTACGGTGGTATCAGAGCATATAAAAAGGATGAACCCTAAACTTGAGGGCCCTCATCGCCTCGCCCTTGGAGCATTGTAAGGGAGGCAAATCGCGCGATGTGTCCTAATATGCCAGGGAACAAGAGCTTGCCGTACACTGCTGTCCACAAAGAGTCCAATTTCATATTTCAGGAATCAAACCCTCACAATCTGGCCGCCAGCAAGGTTGATACTACCTCACTCCTATCCTTTGCACCACTGGATTATGCCCGGGGGGCTATCAAAGCATATAATTATTAAGGATGGTGGTTGATCCGATACTGGTTGGTGGTAACACCAAGTTCTCTGACTTTGTTTGTTGGGGTTCTTTGATTAATAAGGATATTTACCCTTTGTGCTCGCATATTTGGAGGTTCTTGAAAGCTCTTTTGTATTACTAACATAAGTTGCTCACTCGGTTTGCAATTTCTGAAATCCTAGTTTTTTAAGTCTTAAATGTGTGTCTCGGTTTGATATATTTGGTAATTTTATTTGTTCTTATTGCCCCTATTTGACACTCATTATTTGGGAAATTAAAAAATTTTCAATAGTATATTTTTGGAGAATGTGTGGTTAAAAAGTAAATAAACTTTATTAGTTTGTGTATATAATATTTTATTGTGTGAATGTGCGGTGGTGAATTATACTGTGACAAACAATTTAAAATTTTAAAGGTTGTCGAACTAGTGCTAAGATATTTTTATATTACTGTGTATACTGTCCCTGACCATCCAAAATTTGTTTTCTTGGATCTCTTGGCCTAAGAAAAAGAATTTCATGGAATCCTCAGGTCCTTAAAACAAAAGATAACGGCCTATAAACTTTTCATTTGAGGTATTTGATTTTTGGAAAAAAATTATTCATTGTGACTGTAAAAATTGTTGTCTCTTCTACTGCATTTTGTGTGTGGTTTACTTGTGATATGGTTGTGCTATATTTGACACTTCCAAACTGTTTTTCAAAAAATCTAGCAACAGATTTTCTAAATGGTTAACACTAATTTTGAATTCGGGATTTTTACTGGAAAATGTGACTTTTCAGTTTGGCAACAGAAAATTAGGTGTATATACTTGTTCAACAATTTTTTTTTAAAGCAATTGAAGGAGAATATCCTGAAGCTATGACTGCTGAACAACAGCTCGAGGCTGATGAGTTGGCCTATACCTCTTAGTATTGTATTTGTCTAGTGTTGTGCATATCCACAAAAAAAATTGTGGGATAAATCGGAAGAACTTTATCTTGTAAAATATTTACCATATAAATTATTCTTTTGGAAAAGTTTTTCAATTTTAAGCCCCCATTTGGCCCCTATTCTCTTTCTCATTCATTTTTTCATTCTTATTTTTAACCACACAATTTTCCATAAAATAATATTATACGCAAATCGAAAACTTTCCATTCTTTTTCAACCACACAATTTTCAAAAAAATAATATTCTAACCATTAAAATTTGGAAAGAATAGGTGTCAAACGAGGGTTAAATTAAATCAGTCAAAGGATCCTGATGATAATTTTACAATTTGAATAAATTGGTCCAAGGTGTTACTACGTATGGTGAAAAACTATGAAGAATACAAGGCTATGATTTTATTGAATACTATTCTTGAAAATTATAGTGAGAT